CAACTAAACACTATACATCTAAACACTATACATCTAAACACTATACAACTAAACACTATACAACTAAACACTATACATCTAAACACTATACATCTAAACACTATACAACTAAACACTATACATCTAAACACTATACAACTAAACACTATACAACTAAACACTATACAACTAAACACTAATCTCTAAACACTATACAACTAAACACTATACAACTAAACACTAATCTCTAAACACTAAACTCTAGAGTAACGTTCAGCATGTAAACTAAGCTGTGGTGGAGGAGAAGTATTTAGTTGGATTAAACATGTTGTATGTCCTCGCTGACATTCCAGCGGTGCACACATGACCTTCTGCAGAGACGCTCATTGTTTCCTCACGGTCAGTGTTCCTCACAGAAGTCCTCTGTTGTTCCTGTTGGGAACAAGAAGCTCTTTATCTCAAAGGAAAGCTGCAGAACATGCAGCTGGGAAACCAGATTATTGTTTTTTTACTGGGTTGTTTCCAAACACATGTTCTCACATGTTCATGTCATGGAAAGTTAATCAGAGTTTTATATTTATTCTATTTCTCAGTATGTTCGTCTGTGTGTTCACTGTGAGGAAAACACTTCAACACAAGTAGTGAAAACGTGTGTGTTCTGTCCGTAAAGGTTAAAATACACATACGATGTATGTAGATATTCTATTTAAAGAGACTTAAGACGGAGAAAAGCAGTAAACCGTCTCTCCAGCTGGAAGCAGAGACGTTTTAAATAACTTGTCTACTCATCGTTTCAGCTCCACATCCTGTGAATCATAATTAGTATTTCAGTCAACTTCTAATTGTTGCCAGGTTGGCGACCATTCTAATATTCTACTTAAAAACGTGTTGTTGACAGATTGTCTCACTTTCTCTTATGTAATAATGTCTTTTTTCCTTTTTTGGAAACAGTGTTGAGGATGTGCCCCTCTTGTGTTTTGATCAAAACTTTATTAGACTTGACGATGGATGAAAGTATTCAGATGTTCTGTGTTGATGT